ACCCACTGCCACAGGATGTGATGATGAGAGACAATCGAATTATTTCCTACATCGTAGGCATATATCGCTAAGAGAGATTATATTTTTTCAACTTCTTCCTCCTCCTCCTCTCCACCCTCCCCTTATTTTTATTCTTAAGTTACTCCGAGATTTTAATATTTGCCACTCAATTTTTAAATTATAATAAATCTCGCTATTAACTTTACTATCGTGCGTATAATTATACCGTTTAGTTTATTTCGATGAGTTTCAAAAATTCTCAGTCTTGAAAAACATTTATTTAAACCCAGTTTCTTTAAATTATTATTTTTATTATGTTGATTTTGTAATTTTTAAATTTGTAACTTGTATTTGGATTATTAACAAATTATTTTATGAATTTTTCTTGTGGGTTTCAGGTGATCCTATGATAACATCTTCACTTAAGGGTAAGTTTTTTCAGTTTAATTATTTATTTGCATGGTTTGGTTTGAAAAAAATTAAAAATGAATTTTTTATTTACTATAAAATAATTTTGACTACCGAAAAACCAACAAGAGAAAAGAGAAACGACGAAATTTTAAATTGTAATAATTTAAATAAAACTTTTCTTCGGTACAATTGCATTCTCTTGACTCGAAATGCGTCAACAACACACTGTTTACAGAATATTTTAGGGTTCATAACCATTAATATTAATTAAAAAATACCGAAGATAAATATAACATTGAGTACACATCACTAACATATTTGGGTTGAAATTTACCTATAAAACCAGACCCTCGTCGAGTCAATGCAATTATTCATGCGTAACAATTGATATTTGTGCAGGCCTGTTTCACGTCTGTGAGTTTCATTATACATTATATTATATTATATTATAATATATATATACGATATGATTACAAGCAACATTTATAAGACATTCATTCTACCGTAATATAAATATACATATAATTTAATAAAATGCCCAAAAAAAAGTTATAAAAAATGTGAGTGTCCTGATATACTGACATTCGTTTACACAGCTTGTTTTATTTTCGTGAGCGAGAATCGCTGACGAGCAATTGACTTCTTAGCTTAACATATATAACTGCGGAGTTGTATTTTATAATTGCATCTAATCATCATTACTCGTCGTTTTATTATTATTACTATTATTAAAAACTATTTTTTTACTTTTTTATACGTATATTTTAATGTCATGGCGTAGGCGGGTAGGTGTAGTATACTGGACAACACAAGATACGTAATTGAGTTTCTGAAATCTGAAACCCCGATATGAGTGGACCACATAAGATCATTCTTCCGTGTCGTTTAATATACAACCACGTGATAATTTTATCTTCCCACTTCTCAATAATTTTTATCTTATTATTATTATTATTATTATTATTATTATTTTTTTTTTTTTTTTTTTTTCAATATTATTCTATATATTGTCTTTTTCACGTATATAGGCATTCAATTTTTACACTAACAAATGTTTAACGTGATTTCATCACCGCAATTATCGCAGCAACGAGAATTCACACGTTAAAAAAACATTACTATAGTAATTAAAGAAAAAAAATAATAATAATAATCTATTTGATTTGATTTTAAAATTTAATATTCAAATAGAATTTATAAATTATTTTACATATTATAGATCTAATTATAATTATCGATAAGGATATGAATCATAGTCACATTATTATTATTATTATTGTTATTATTAATAGCAAAAAAACTAACGACAGTATTTGCAATAACACTGTAAGCCGATGAATGAACACTTCTAACCTCAAAATTTATCAATTGTAAGTTTCGTAATATTTTAATTTTTCATAGATAAAAATAAATTGGGACTATTGATGATAATTATAATTGGTTAACATTTAAACAAGTGATAACAATAACTTTAAAACATTTCATTGATTATTTTAACCGGTTCGTTGAATGGACGGTGTCCTCATTTTGTTATAGCTTCTCACTATGGTTAACAACATATTATGTCGGTTCATAGTCCTCAAGTAAATATAAAAATAAATTACAAGCTAATTCACGTGTGATCTAACTCCTGAGATAGATTAAATTAAAATCGGTGCAGCAGTATTTTAATAATTAGGATATAAAATTGGCAAGTGGGGCAATGGACGGCTAAGCTTTTCATAGCGCTTTTTCAATTAACGAAAAATTGCAGATCTGAGTTATCGACAGTTGATTTTGATTTTAATAGCGGACGATTTGAAATTTGAAATAGTAAAATGTGATATGATCTCCCACGGAGAAGCTAGTATGCGCGTGACGTATACATAAATTGTCGTATACAAAAGTATAATTATTCTTGAAGCGATAGTTGCTTGCAACCTTCTCCAACAACTAAACCACAAGGTCTCTCGTGGTTTACCATTGTCGTTAACTTCTCTCTCTTTCTTTTTATTATTTTTCTCACTGTCAAATATATATGTATTTATATTTATATTTATATAGATACACACATATATATATATATATATATATATATATATATAATTCTATTCTTGCTAACTACTATCTTAGCACGAGTCTGGAATGTATCCTCAACATAGTACAATTGCTTTCGCATTCGTTAGTTACCGCACATATACTAGGATATGCATATGCCTAGTTATCCATTTTTATGTGTATGGATCTGTCTATTATACTATAATTTTTATTTTTACTCTAAAATATAATAACTTATGAAAAGAAAAGCTTGTAGTATATACTATATATTAGTATGCTATTTAAAAGAAAGTCATAAAATAATATAAGGCAATCAACTCTATAGGTTAACGACTTGTTTTAAGTCTTTAGGCTGTTATGCATGTTAGACCAAAGCGCATCTAATAAAACAACGAATAGAACATGTGCTTTTAATTATCCGGGGTTGTTTTAAGTACATTAAATATTTTATTGGTTTATAAATATTTATATTGTTTTTTTTTTTTTTTATTTTTTATCTCCAAAAAAATTCCTAGATACTCTATTTATACTGCTAAAAAATTTGCTCCATTTTTTGTATCTAAAAATGAATTGAGGGTATTTTTACAATTTTAAATCGGAAAACCTTGAAGAATTTTATTCTCAAGGTATTTTGTTTATGAAAAATAATCACAATAAATTATTATCAAATAATTTTCATTAATTTAATAACACCAGTAGTGAAGTAACTACAAGATAAAAAAATTAAGTCCCCATTTTGGTGATGCATTTGAAAACCAATCTATTAAATTTCTAATCTTTTAATCAGACATACTTATTTATCGTCATGTGTAATAAATATTTAATCATTCATCCCACAAATTATATTCTTCTGAAACATTTTTAATCATTTCTTCAGATACAAGTCAATAATTTCTATTATTTTCCAAATGAGTCAAAATTTTCACCAATGTTCTAGTTTTTAATCAGTTAAAAACCTTTTGAAGCGTTATATTCCTTCACAATCTTCAAAATTTTCATCGAATTGATATTTTTATACTTATGCTGAGATATATTACTTAGTACTTATGCAGAAGATTAAACTTCAAGAAGCTAAAGCGTACCAATTAACTTAAAGAAGACAAAAAATTCTTTATTAAATAATTTTTGCGTATCTATTTCTACACTGAAAAAAAAAAATTAACTTGCTTTGAGAGAAAAATTTTTGAACTAAGAAAATAGTTTTGAAGAGGGTAATTGTCTTGAATCATCAAGTAAAATTTCATTAAATCAAGAAAAATTAATTAGTTATAAAGAATCTTTTTTCTTAAATCAAGCAGATTAAGTTCTTCAAAATTATTTCCTCGATTCAACAACATTTTTTTTCTATGTAATAACAATAACACAGTATAGCAACTACCAAGTGGTACAGTAAGTCAAAAATTATCAGGCCACGAGAAAATAAAAAAAAGAACCCATCAGAACGAATAATCCAGTGGTTGGAGATACTCGTTTTCGCTTTGGCCCGGGTCCACCTTGAAATAAAACCACTTTCGGCGACTTTCACCGCTACGCCTAGTGTACCATATACACCATACTCTCTTACCTCTAATAGTGAAATGCCTGTACACCAAGCTCTTTCCTTTTATTTATTTACTTGATACTAAAAAATTCTCACACACGCGTATCATAATCATAAATATACTTAAGTTAAATCTACCTGTACCAAATCTTTCTCGTCTTGATCGTCTTGATCGTAATTATTTTTGAAGATACCCGAATACCGCGGTATCTTCATTAAATTAAAAAGTCATGTGTATTAAAGAGAATAAGAGAGTACTTGGGAGAATAAGTGTACTCTACATATATAATTATCAGTCGAATACGGAAGTTCCTCTTGCTTGGCAACTCCAAGGTGAGATAAGAAGGGGTGCCGCGGATCCTCGGTAGGGATATATGATACATACAATATATAGAGACACGCTCATCGATAGTTTATTTGTATTGTAAAAGTATAAATGTGTTGGCCTGCGCGATTTAAAGAGACGATACGAGTGGGGGGGGAAGTATCGCGGTGGGTATAGGAGAGAGAATCGGTTAAGATATAAGCCCACTATACGGACTTTGAGTAGAAGTTGAGTGGGGAACATGATCGTACAGAAGTGGAGGCGGTACACGGTGGTATAGGCCGTTTTACTGAGCGTGGGGCCGTTTGACGGTCCGATCTCGACCGGTGGCCGTGTGCCGCTAGTAGTGTCTCGTTGATCGCGAACCTAGCGCGACACGCGCCCAAATTTACCCGGAGACTGTCTTAATCACAGACTGTGCCGGGTTCATAACTTTCCATTCCATTTAAAGTTTAATAATTGTACCTGTAATTATAATTTTATAAAATTAAAAATAAAAAATCCGCGAAAATATGAGCGCGTTAATTCGCGGATAATTTATAAAAATGATTTGCAATAAACACTTGTGAGTGAAGTGATTAATTTGACAATTATAAACAGACTGTGAATGTTGGGTGGAGTTTTTTTTTTTTTTTTTTTTTTTACTATTAATTATTAATTATTGATTGTTAATTGACAAACTGTGCAATGGAGTACCAACAATTAGTGTCACCTTCGGTAACTGTAGTGCAGCATGGACCTCACCACCCCCAGCCGCCCACACAACCCCAATCCCAACAACAGCCCCATCATCAGCCGCAAAACCAATCACAAGTTGTTCCACCCTCGCACCCTCACATTGTCCTAGCACCTGCGCATCAACCCCAGCCACAACCGCCCCCAAATCTGCCTCCACCTACCACTCACGCGCACCAATTGCATCCACCCTTACCGCCTATACACGACGACAGTACCAGCTCAAGGTGGACACAGTACCAGCACATATGGCGACAACATCATGTTTATATCAATGGTGAGGTTTATGTAATGATCTGGTTTATTAATCTTCGGTGTTGCTACCATCAGTTTTTTAAAGTTTTATATTATATGTTGGCCAATAGTTTTTGCAATAGACATAATATATGTCTTGGTCAGTGGAAAATTTTGGACTTACAAGCCTAGGTTTGAGATTCTGAATAAAGGGGGGTGAGATAGGGGAAAATTTTGATTTCAAATTTTGCAAATATTTTTGTGGTGATTAGCTCCGAAAAATTTCTTCTTTGAAGCGTTAAAATTTGAGTATCTTCTATTCTAACTTATGGGATTTATGGTAAAATTTATAGACTTGTTTTGTAGAGAATTACTATTTGTTGCTAAAAATTGTTCTTACAATTTTGTCTCTTCAATATTTGGCCCAGACTTTTGGTACCAAAGTTTGTAACAAGAAAATTTCATTTTTAAAATACTTCAACAGACTTAAAAATCGCGACAAAAAGTATTAGCAGACACTTAAATGCAGAGAGCGCAAGGCTGATCAAGTCTAGGCACGCCCACCTGTTGCCTCGTCGAACTCTATACAATATTTCCAGTGTAAATTATGAACACCCGAACGCCAGAATAATAAATCATGATAGCGGAAGTCCAATGCTCGTATTACAAATAAAAGTACCAACACATTATTACACCAGGTATACTAAAATTCGCGAGAATAATTGCAGAAGTAGGAAACGCGTATATGAATCACGTATTATACAACGGGCTTTAAAGAATTTGATTATTATCTGTTTACGTGGACTAAATTTAATTTCTTTTGATCGGTTAACAATCGCAGGGATAGGCTGTCTGACTATTGGATCTACCCGGCCTATCCTGTCCGCTTTTTATTTATTTTATTTATATATTATACATCATTTAGCTATTTTTTTTAACCTTATCCGCATCCCAGGTAATTAGTGTTACCACTGCCAATAACCCGATTAATTTATTTTTAGACAATTTTTGTACAATATTACACTTTTATTAATACAAATATACATTATTTTAATTAAATTATGATATTTTTAACAATTTATAAAATAATCAGTCAAAAATTCAAAGCCAAAACATAATAATTGTATTTCTTCTCATTATTTTAATGTCAGCTCTACGGGAAATGACGTACATAGATGGCGCGTCAGTAAGTGCGCGAAATTTGAAACAAGATATTGAATTTAACTTATCGCCGATAGATAAAACTTGTTTCGATATTTTAAATACATTTATTGATGATTAAAAAATTGTTTTATTATATTTCAATACTGAAAAAGGATAAATATTTAAAAATAAGTATTTTAAAAGGGTAAAAATAAAAATACAAGCTTTTTAAATAAAATAAGCAAATGAATCACTTGATTTAGTATTGCTGGTATATTCTGTTAAATGGTTTTATTGGTGAATAAAAATAAAATAAATTTAATCTAAAAAATGTTTGCGCCGACTTTGAGAAAGAGTGAAAGGGGTGAGGTGATTACAATACCACGTGATAACAATAACAATTTAGATCAAAAGACGTGTCAGATTAGATGTTAATCTTACGATAAAAGACACTATGACCCAGTGACCATAACCCGACCTTTCACGAGGCCACACACTCACAATATAATAATAATCAGTGACCTAAACGAAGTGAAGCCTTACCACAAGAATTGATGCATTGCCGACCCACCTCGTCCGTTAGTATAATATATAATAACAACGCCCGTTTACAATTTAAATTATATTCATTGTTCATTATCATTTATATTTATTCGAACCGACGACTCAACTTTTTATGTTATTAAAAATTAAAAATAATCACCCGTATCTATTTTGTATAACAAAATTCGCTTTTTTGTTTGCTCAAATAATTGATGTTTACTTTTTTAATATTATATATATATACATACATGTACATGTATATATCTACTAATGAAAGTAAGAAGATAAATTTGACCTGAATAAGTAGTATATTGGTTAACAAGCCTTACAGTCGGGCTTCATGGATATATTTTCTATGTATACATCTTTAACTTTTAACCTTTATTTTTATTTTTTTAACCCATTTATTATATTTTTCGTAAACGTTATGTTTCATTAACTTAATTAATTACTTCGATTAGATTAAAACTAAAAATAAATATCAATAATCCAATTATTTATTTTTATAATTTTATGTCTGTTAATTCTGATCATTAATTTTCAATCATCGCTTTAAATAAATTTATTGGTTATTTTAAATTATTGGTAAAATACAATTACCACAAGCTATAAATTACTTTAAGGAAGAATCTATGTTAAATCAATTTCAAGTGATTAAACTATTGACAGAATAATAATCATAAATCTCAATGTTCATATTTTTATTTTTTTTTTTTTTTTTTTTAAGAAACTTATTATATTAATATTCATATAAATATTTATTATTATTAATTGTAAATATGTTTGTTTAAAAAAACATTTTTAAAACACTTGCAGACTATCGATGCGACCCGAGACCCAACCGCCTAGACCTCGATGATAATAATTTAAGCAAAACAAAAAAAAACTCGAATTAGTTTTTATTTAGCGACGGAAAATTTTATGTTAATTTTTTTTAATTTAAAAATACGCTAATAAGTTGACTAGTTTTTTCATGTTTCAACAAAAATATTGGGTAAAAACTTATTTGTAGTAAAATTACCTTGTATATAGCTGGTGTCAGCTTGAAAAATTCATCACCGGATGCTAGTTTTTAAAGCGATAAAAACTCGATAATTATAAAAACAAACAAAATTAAATAATTACTGATATACAGTAATAGTACTTTGTTGAATATTAAAATAAAACTTTTCAATAATTACTTTTAGAACATTCACACTGAAAATAAAAGAAAATAAAAAGGCTTACTTTAGTCAAAAAATTATTTTTTTTTTGTTCAAAAATTAGTTTTTTTTTTTTTTAGCATACATTATAAATAAGCCAGTTTTTTAATTTTTGAAGAATTCGTTGCATATATCTTTAAATCGCTTGATCAATTCCAAAACAAAATCGGTTGAATAATTTTTTAAAAGCTTTTGATTGTCACAAGAATGATCAAAATCGATGAATTTATTCGAGAGATATTATTGTGACTACTAACTTGAAAACTACTTTCAAAAATGGCCTAAAAATGGTGTTGTTGCTTCATTATAATTACAATGTTCAAATAGTTTCAGAGATATGATTGTTATCTGAATTTATAATTAACAATAAATCTTTATTTTTGTCAATTGTTTATTGATTCAAACAACATTTTTTGGTTTATTCTAATGGTCTGGATTAATTACTCAATACTTCTTCATATTAATTATTAAAGTATATTTTATTTTAAAAATTAATTACAGTATTTCCAAAAAATTATTTAATTAAATAAATTCGAATTTTTTCTTTAAATCAGTTGAATACTTCAATTAAATAGTTTAAACATTTGCAGTATTTAAGATCAACAATAACAGTATTATCTCTTGATCAATGTCATTAATTATTTTAAATTATACCAAATATACTAAAAGTATGACCATTAGAATTTTGGAAACAACCCAAATTTTAACAGATATTCTCTAATAATTTCTACAAGTGCAATTCAATTAATTAACCAAATGAATGTGAGACAGTAAATTATCAAAACATAAACTTTCAATCGAGCAAATTAAAGAAAAAAATATATCGATGATATTTAAAGTACGCTAAGTTGTTAAGTGACCGTTTTCACTTTCATGCTCACTCGCAATATTATTGTTAATATTTAATCTCTTTATCTGAAGTAATAAAAAAATCACATAATATTTAAATACTTCCGTCAATATTAAATTGAAAATATGTTGTGTTGAAAATAAACGAACAGTCGAGAAACAAAAAGTTTAATAAAATGTTAAATGTGTCTGGTAGAAAGCGTGTATAGCGTTTAGGATAAAAATGCAAGTATTATAAATCCAGGAGTACAGAGTAAGAGTAAAAGTGTTAAAAGTAAATGATAAAAGTACGCATATGTATATATAAATATATAATATATGGATGTATAAATGCGTGTGAGTCTTTGAGGAAATTTGCAAATGTTTTGTGAGAACACAGCCAGGCCGAGAGAAAGAGAGATGGAAATCACAAGGTGTCTATTCCCAACATTCTCGTATCGGTGTGGGCTGTGATTACTTTCTCCAGCAGAACTTGAAGAACTTAGACCGATAAGCAGTATATTCTCTTCCGGGTTGAGTTGAACCTTTACCTTTTTTACATTAATATAACTGAACCCTGTTATTTTTGGTTAAATTAACCGCTAATGCAGTGTAATTTCAAACAATACCTTTGCTAGGGAGGATTTTGAAATGTTAAATTGGTTAAATTTTGAGATTATATTAAGAGTTAAGATCAAAAGTATTATTCGTTGACGGTGAAAGCGAAAGTCATGTGACTTCCTAGTCAAACAAGGAAGCTAAGAGCAATATGCGGGAACACGCACACTGCATAATTAATTATACTGTTGATGAAATATATACTTAACTTTTATTTTAAAATTTATAAAAATTTAATCGCCTGTTTAAAGGCAATTCTTAGCAATTATTAAAAATTAATATTTATAAATTTTAATTGTTCTTCTCGGTGGTCCGAACAACGCGACTATACATCAGTAATTGGATTACCAATTAAATATATTATTTATAACCTCGTTATCTAAATGACTCAATTTTTGTTGATAAGTTTAATGTTATCTTGCCTTGTATTAAGAATTAAAGATGAGAATATGAAAGTAGTGGTTAATGATAATATAAAAAGCCTTAGATCTGCAAATATCGTTGTAATTTAGGGTGATAAATAATTTAGCCGTACCGATTATTTTGCAGTGATCGAAATAGATTAGCATAGACGGATATCGAGTCTAATGTCCTTGACACGCATCATCTGAAGGAATAGAAGATGAGTTTGTGTCATATGCGACAGCTGTTAAGAATTAATTTTAGATAACATGTTTTATACATTTATAGTTGTGTATGTATTTATAAGTGTACGTTAATCGACAGTCGGTATTCGGTATTAAAATTCTTCATTTCATTATATATATATATATATATATATAATTATTATTGTAATTTTAATTTATTTTTTAAGACCGATACACTATCGAGTCTTTAGCTTCTGTACTGCTCTTCATGGAAAAAGTTTGTCAATTAAGACTATACAACTGTTCCGTTCTTCGTCATTTGTTCCGTGTCATTTTTTACAAACTTTCTTTTTTTTTTTTTTTGGCGGGTTACGTAATTCCACTTGTCTCATATACTTTTTGTTCTATTTCTTCAGTTTTTATTGATACTTTTTTAATATATTGCTACTGACTTTTTGTTATTAAATTTATTGATCGAAGAGAAGTAAATTACTTGTTTGAATTAATCTATTGACAATTTGGACATAAATTAATTTTATTTTTATTCATAATAGGAAAAGTATTAATTTTTTTGCTAACATTTTAATTAAAATTTACTTTAACGATTATTAAAATTTAAACAACAAATTTATATAATTGAATTATTTTTTAAACACTTTAGCTTCTTCATAAAAGTTTAGACATCAGTCATAAAAAGTTTAACAGTTAATTATTTTCTAGTTATCTAATTATTTAAAGTTTATTTTTTGGGGATTACCACAATTTAAGTGATTGTAACGATTAGTAAAAGAACTTTTGATTCTCTATAAAGAGATAATTTATTAATTTATTAATGATAAATTTTTGAGGACTTGAGTCTTTAAAATATTCAACAGTTGATACTTTTTCTCTTCTTATTTATTGCCTATTACTAATATAACGTACCGTAAAAAGTTCAAAAGAAGGGGAGACGGCAGTACCACGAGAAAGTTTGAAAGTGAATTGTCCAAGCTTGACCCACCTTTCATTCGCCGGATTCGATCATACAAAACTACCCGAATTTATTAACATATTTGGTCAGTAAAAAACGGTTTATATAAAAATGAAATTTCATTTTTAAATAAATTATTTTATCCAATTAATCTCTGTCAATGGATTCTATTTAATTAAAATAAATTATTTATTAAGTTTCCAAATTGCATCACTGGTACAGGTAGACGGTAGACCGTGTGCTAATTAAATTGCAATATCTTTCTGGCCATGACCATGATCTTACATCTTGTGTACAAAATTTTGCAATTTAATCTACTGGTAATTTGATTACTTAGTTTTTATAAATTAAATTAGTTTTTGTCTAACTTGTAAACAATTAAAATTTTTTGCAATTGGGAACTTTTTTGGTTTGAGCCAAAAAGCCCGGAAATTAAAAGAGCTCAATAACTTCCTGCTTGGGTTAAGCGTTAAAATCGTGTTTCAGTTAAGTGACTCGCGCCACAAAGGCCCAAAGGGAAAGTAGCATAAGCAACTTTCACTGCCTACTGGCAAGCATACCGTAGCACTTGCTATCCTCTCTCTTAAACTTTTATTTTTCATCGTATTTTACTTCCTCAACATCTACACTCTTGTAGTTTACTCTTTAACAAATCATAAACTACAATTCATTTTTTTAACCGACGCGGTAACTATTATCCCAATAAAATTTTAATTACTATCTACTATAACTCTGCAGATAATAAGTATAATAATTAACGTCTGAGAAAACTTTATTATCTCGAATAAAATTTAAATTTATCAGTCGGTTGATAAAGTTAACATTTAAACTATTATAAATTATCGTACAAGCCAATAATTGCTTCATTATATTTTAAAACTACTGTTATAAAATAAAACAATTGTTATTTTATATTAACATATATAATTATTATCTGCATAACAATTATTTTCAATAATATAATCAATTTATAAAATAATAGTGAAGAAAATAGGGTTAGAACAATACATTCCTATTTCTTTCCGCTATTTTAACATTGCCACTACGGGAAATGACGTACATAGATGGCGCCTCTTAACGCGCGTAATTTAAAATAGCAAAATTGATACTAGTTACAATATTAATACTTTTTAATGCTAATTAAGTTGTATTATTTCAAAAAAAATGGATGTTATGTCAAATTAACTTGTTGAAAAGCCAAGTGTGAAAAACAATAAATAATTAATTAATTAAATGTAAATTATTAGAATTGAGTGATAATGAATAAGGATATGCTTTTATAAAAGTTATTATAAATAAATAAAAACAAACAATCAAATGAATGATGTGGGATCTTTGAGCAAGTCCTCTGTTCGACGTGGCCAAGGACGACAGCATTTCCTCTACTCTGAATCGCGTTCCGCGTTCCACACCTTCTTGTAATTCATCAAGATACCTATAAATATAATATATCCGCCGGCAGCCGCTTTCTCATTCGTTTTTAATTTTCGATTTTAATTACTCATTCGTATTGATTTTTTTTTAGAAAAAAACCAGCCGTTAATAAATGTATCAAACTGCAAATAAAATAATATATATTGTATGGAAAACTAGTTGAAGTGGTTCTCGTTGAACCGTGACTAGTCTATCAAGGATACAAGGCTGAGATTACATCGTCAACTTTATATACTTGTATATTATTATTAATGCGAATGTGGGAATGAAAGTGAATCTCTGTTTTTATCCAGTATATCTATTGAATTTCATTTATTATACGAATTAACACTTTATCTTTATTTTTTTTTAATTGCTTGTTGTTAATAATTAATTATTGTTGTTGTCTAATCAAGAGGTTTTGTTTTAAGAAAATTTTTTACTTTATTTAAAGACATTTTTTAATCGATACTAGCATTTATTTCTTGCTTGATGATTAAAGGAAGTAATTATATAAAAAAAAAAAAAAAAAAAAAAAAAAAAAAAAAATAAAAAAAAATAAATTTTTTATTAAGCCATGGTTTTATAGTTTAATAGCATATAATTTAATTTTTTATTAAGTTTATAAATTATAATTACTAATTTTAGTTTAATAATTTACGATAAATTGTTTAGAATGTAATTATTCATATTATTTTATTTTATGGTCTTAATTTTTTACTTCAGAAAAGGTTTAGTGTAACGCGGGCATTAAAAAGTAATTACTGTTAAGTTTTACATAGTTTTTCTTTCTATTGCTGATAAAAAAAAAAAGTTTAAAAAAAAAAAAACTTCTATTAAGACAATTTTCTTGACAAAAATATTTTTAAATTTTAATAAATTAAATTAAAAAATTTTATCTAACTAGATTTAAATAAAAATTAAAAATTTACTTTTTAAATATTAAAATAAAACATTTAGTTTTTTTTTTTAAATAAAATTTATCAACAAAAAGCAATAAAAAAAAAAATCCCAAATTTTTCCATCAACACGTTTGACTAAAAATCATTTGAATAATGTCACAAAAATAAACTAGCGCAGAAATAAATAATTAATAATTCGCCAGAATATTTCCAATGACAATTGCGCATTCACTATTAACGACAACGATTATAATTAATACGATAAAGGCAATAAGTTCCCAACAAAGTTGGCACAAAAAAAAAAAGTATTAAATAAATATTGCGTGCTAAACAGTCTAGGTAACAACTCATATCAATACTTAACATAAAAATCCGAACAACTAAACAACACAACTCAACATATCAGTCCAGCCTGTAATTTAGTTCAAGGCTAGGCTCTCGGACTAAAACCTCTCTGCGGAACTAATCTCTGTACAGGCGTACACCGGTGCTACGCTTCACTAGCCCACCAGCAAAAACCCGGTATACGTTTACGTAGTACTTTTAATTCAACGTCCAAAAAATGTGAATTTAAGCAGCAGCAGCAGCAGCAGCAATTGAAGAAATCAAATCTTCAGTGCTTGATTATTAAATTTACTTTTTTAAATTCACAGACTAGTTATAATTGTATATTTTATTAATTAAACCAGACTGTAATAAAAGCAATGTTACTTCTGTTGGAGTTATTATATTTTTTTCTAAATCCAAGTGTAGAGCTAGTGTTGGACAGTGGCGTGACAAGCATGCTCTCGTAGCCTTGACAGTCGACCCGCAATGCCGTTCTCCTGCGTGTAAAAATCACCTAAGTCGTCACATATGACTTAGACTTAGTTTCTAATGCTTCATTCAATACTTTTGGAATATTTAATTTAAATAAATAAATAAATTTTTTTCAAAATTGTAATTAACGAAAATTTTTAATTGCAGGTAAACAAAATAAAGATGGACCAGAGGAAAAAAAAGACGCTGACGGTGAATTGTGGGGCAATGTGGAAGCACAAGCCGCCTTCCTTGGTCCCAATTTATGGGACAAAACCCTGCCTTATGATGCCGACCTGAAGGTATTGAATCATGTATGTATTACGACGGAAAGAAAGAATAATAAACGCTCAAATGAAACCATCCAAAATAGTGTAAAAATTAAATTAATAATTAAAAAAAAAAGTAATGTAGGTAAGATGTCAACAAAAGTAACCCAACTAATGACTGGCTGGATTTTCCTTACCTATTTCATTCGAATATAATGTATATTATTTAGATTTAGATTTATTTATTTTCTTATTTTTTACCATACTTCCCGTTGTTGAGGCACGCAAAGTTACGCAACGTTGTAAAAAAATATTGCGCTAGTATAGAGCTGTGAGACTTCCTGGATTTGTGAAAACAAGGAAGCTCTTGGAATAGCACACACTTGTATACTTGGTTAGTTGTACTCTAGACTACTCTTTTATACTTAATACTCAATACTTTGCTGCAACAGAATCAGTATGAGTATAAAATATAAGAATCTAAACAACCAACCAATCAACCAACCAACCGACAAGACTTTCACCCTCCGTGATATCGTTACGCCTACAATCGCGATTTTGTCCTTTTGTTCTTGCATTTTTTATTTACTAATACAATAATTCTTTATTGTTAAAATAATAACAATTATTATTCTAATAAATTTTTGGATGATTTTTTTTTTTTTATTTTGACGTTTTTGCATGCGAATCTCTGGTGGATCCAAATTATTATTTTGTTTCTAGCTCAATAATTTTCCAAATGAGTCAAAATTTAATGGAAAAAGATTGTCAAAAAACTGGTAATTTTTTAAATAAAAAATTAATGTCAATTGATACTCTTCTAGTGTGACACATTTTGTCAAGTTGATTTTAAAGAAGATGAATTGGGTCTGCCAGAAAATAATTAATGAAATTAAAAACAATTACAAAACTTAGTGATAGTAAATTTGAAAATGAAATAAAAATAATAAATGAATACTTAATACATTATTCAGTACGTGGATCTGGATGAGTTTTTATCAGAGAATGGAATACCTGTCGACGGAGTGGGCGGTGGAGTACAAGGGAGCATGCAGCCAGGTCAATTACACAAACTGAATAACCCAAATGAAGCTGCGAGCCACCAAGGACCTGCTGGATTACATCTTGAACCGGTTACCAAGCGGGAAAGATCACCCTCTCCGAGCGATTGTTGTTCACCTGACACACTAAATCCACCATCACCTGCCGACTCGAGTAAATATGACCTTTTATTAACTAATAATTATTTGGTTAGTAAGTCAATTATTGTTACCGATTTAAGAAAATACTTGTAAGGAGCTTTGTAGAGATTTTGGCGAGTTGAGGTCGCGGCTTGTGTCACAACTGAATACAATGGGTTATCTATTGTCTTATAGCGCTGTCGATGGCGTCATCGGGCCGAGACTTTGACCCGAGAACCCGGGCATTCTCCGATGAGGAACTCAAACCACAGCCGATGATTAAGAAATCTCGGAAACAGGTATTAAAAGTCACGCTACAGTTTCTTTTATTTTTTTTTTATTTCACTGTTATCGAGAGATGGGTTTTATTAAATTAATTGTTTTGGTGGGATGTTTGGGTGTTGCAGTTTGTGCCGGATGACCTGAAGGATGACAAATATTGGGCTCGTCGTAGGAAGAATAATATGGCTGCTAAAAGATCGCGGGATGCGCGTCGAATGAAGGAAAATCAAATTGCTTTAAGAGCTGGTTTTCTTGAAAAAGAGGTAATTATTTCTTCTTTAAGAGTTGGTTTAAAATTATTAACACGAAGGAGGAAGCGACGAAATGGCCGATGCGTGCGCATCCCAATAGATTCATTTTTTTTTACACAAAAATTATTAAAAGGAATTAAAATTTCCTTATTATTAGAATGATTAAAAGGCAAGAAGATTGTAATTTCTTCTTTAAGAGTTGTTAAAAAATTATCAACAAAATGGAAGAAGCGACAAAATGCCGGATGCGTGCGCATCTCAATAGAATCATTTTTTTTTTTTACATAAAAAGTATTAAAAGGAATTAAAATTTTGTTATTTTCAATACTTTTAATTCGTTTCTTTAATTAAAATGATTGAAAGACAAGAAGATTGTTCTTTAATTAATTAATATATTTTTTTTATTTCAGAATATGGGACTGCGACAAGAACTTGATCGATTAAAGAACGAAAATATGTTATTACGTGATAAACTAAGTAAATATACGGATGTCTAACAAACGGCCAAGTCCAAAATTTCATCGTCTTGACAAGATTAAAAAAAAATTATAAATAATAAATAGACTCTAGGCGTACTCGGAGGAATCCACCCGCTTAAGAAGAGTATCTAAAACATTATCAAGAAGATGAAGCAGCTGAAGTGTTTTTGACAATTTTTCCCTGCCTCGAGATCTCCGTTAAAGATTCTTCGTTACCAAGATACCCCTGAAAAATTTTATATTAAATCAAGCTTCCAAATCATCCCGAAGATGACGAGAAGAAATATCATCATCAAGAGTTTACAATAAAAATAAGTGAAAAAAAAAAAAAAAAATTGTCAAGAGAACCCTTAAGTTTCTTCACCATCGTCGCCTCACTTGTACATAGTTATATATGTATAGTTAGATTATATACGTCATTCGATGTCATATTTGCAGCTACGAACAATATTAAAAAGTAAAACTTTAAAATTATTATAAATGCAATGAAAGAGAGAGTGAGCTACGAGACAGGGAGAAATGAGTGCGTGTGTGTATGTGCCGTTAACTTTTTTTGGATCTTTAATTGATTTAAAAAAATTAAAACAAAAAATCAACTTTAATTTCTTCTTAATAGATCAATTATTGATTAATTATCATCCAATTAGACTATTAATTAATTGATTAACTTAGCAGCTTTGTTATTTTTTAGATAAAGTTATTTAAAATTTCGGACACATTGTTACCATAATAATAATAACAAATAAACATTTGTATATGAGAATGTAATTTACACGTGCAGATACGTAGTAAAAATAATAATATAAGTATGTAGATTTAATGAACTTAAAACTGCACGAATGCAAAGGTTGTCTCAAAAATTATATTTAATTAAATTAATGAGAATTGTATTTGTACGGTAATTGGAATTTTTTACGTCCAAATTTGCAGTTTTTTAAAAAAAGATATTTAATTAAAGCTCTTAATTAATTATTGTTGAGACAATTGCTAAATAGCAACAAAGTGATTAAAGAATAATAATAATAATAATAATAATAATAATAATAATAATAAATCATAATTAATTATAGATTGAAAAGGTAAGAGTACATTTAGCTACTCTACAATAATTAGCCTTTTCTTTTTAAGTTTCTAGATGTTTATTTTGTTTATAAATATATATGAGAATATTATTATTATTTTATTATTAATATATTAAAAATTCTGCACGTATGATCAAATGTTCATTGACTAAAATTTATTGATAATTATAGACGCCTTATTTTTTAATATTATTATAATTATAAATATTATTATGTTATTTTTATTTTGAATACTTTAGTATCATGAGTTACCGATACAATTTATAGTTGTTCGTGTATAAATTTTTTGATTATTTAAATTTTTATTTTTAAAGATAAAAAGATAAAAAGATAAAAAGATAAAAAAATTGTTGACTTATTAATTATTTTATGTTATATATTTAAAAAAAAACTAATTGTACTAATTGGCCTAATATAATATAAATCAGATTATTATGTATGATAGTTCCATCATATTCGATATAAAAAATTTTTAAGTATGACGAAAAAAGAAAAATTGTTTTTAATTATTGACGATGACATTTTTGTGCGGAATTAGAAAAACAAAATTAATGTTATTATTTTTGACAAAAGCTTGTAGTGTAACAATAAATATTATTTACTGCGATCGTCCATAAATCATCGAATTTTTAGATAAATTTATTTAGAGTAAATTAAGGTAATGATTGCAGTTATAAGCCGCTTTTGTCGCAAAGTAACCCAGTAATTATTTTAAAATAAATAAAAAACAATTGTAAAATTAGTAAATACTTGTTGCTAAGGTATAATTGATCTGCAATGTGATAAAAGGAATTATGGATAACTATAACTAAAACGTAAATAATAAAAATAAATAAAATTTTAAAAAAGTTAACTAAAATAAAAACGTAATGCGTTTAAACAAAATGAGTGAAAATGTTCAACACGAAAAATACAAAAATCTATTGATTGTATCACCTTCCTAAAGAATATATGTATTTGTTATTGTTTTAATTATTTTTATTTTTATTTTTCTTTTATTTACTCATCAGTTTTATCCTTAAGTAATTTATAAGAAATAAATATTTTATTTAGAATATATTTAAAAGCCATAATTTAGCTTTTACTTTAATGATAATTAATTTAGCAGATAATTGATAATTTTAAGAATTTTTCTAACTAATAAATTGTGACAAAAAAATATTATAAAAAAAATTGACATTTTGAAATTTTAGAAGACTAAAAATGCAATTTTTTTTTAAATAATTAGGAGCAAATTTATGTGTTAAAAAAAATTAAAAAAATTGTCAAGTGACAGCGAAATTTAATATCACTTTACTTTAATTGGTAGTTAGTGCTTAAAAAAATTACACTTGATTATTTTTAACTCCAGAATTTTTCAAAATTAATTATACTACTCAGAATTATATTTTTTTTTTTTTTTTTCATTTATCTAATACTTTGAATGTTTTATTTTTATTATTGCTAAATTTTTATCAATGGATATTTTTAAGACTTAAAATAGCAAAATGACTTTTTTTTTTTTAGAATTTTACTCAAAAAAAATTATTAAAAAATTCTTACCTGTAATTTTTATTAATATTTTTTCCCGATCAATATTGTCTTGAATCTTTTATATAGAAAAAAATATTGTCAGCTGTTTTCATAACCTCTGATGGTAAGAAACTTATTCGGATTGTTATTATTGTCAGGAAAACAATAATATGATTGTGTTTATATACGCGTCAGACAAAAGTAGTCGATTAATAAGTTAACAATTAAAATATGTTTAAAAAAAATTACAATGAAATTAACGAGAAACATTTTAATACAATAAAAATAATAATTGACACTAATTTATTACTTTATTTACGAACTTAGCAAACTTAATAGCAGTTGATATGAAATTGGTGAAGTAATTAGTTTTGATATGAAACTTTTGATCAATTTTTCGGCACGCACTTATTTTAAATGTCGTTTAATTTAATTTTCAAAAGAGTTAACCGCTAATTTACCTGAAACTCGCGCTCTGTATTAAGTTAGTTTTATGCCCGGTCGCATCAGAGTGACGGTAAGTGTGTGTCAACATCAACGTTGCTGTCATGGGACAAAAAATAATTAATTAAATTACTATTCAATAAAAATGGAAATTTCACCGGTATTCAAAGTCACAGCAGGCTTACTGATGGCTACTGTGATGACAATATTTTATATTAACAAGCCATCTACGGGAGTTGTACCAGAATTGCCGAATACCTGGTGGGGTCCAGGAACAGAAAATTTACAAACTGACAAAACTGTCAGACAGTTTGAAATTTTATTTACTAAAGCGGTAAGCAATTAATTAATTAATTAATTAATTACTTATTTAGTTGTATAGTTCGATGAATTATAATACGAGTTAATAATTCATTGTTGATAATTTTATCAGCAAGTGAATGACCTGAAAAGCAGATTGAAAAACACGAGAGACTTGGCTCCACCTTTGAAAGGTACAGGATGGTCTTACGGAACCAATGGGACTTTTTTGAAAAAAAATATTGTTGATTACTGGCTGAACAAGTATGACTTCAAAAAGCGGCTCGCGTATTTGAACAAGTACGACCAATTTAAAACAAACATTCAAGGTAAGCGCATCCATTAATTATTAACTAACAATTAATTATACTGATTGATAATTATTTGTCGAAGGTCTGGACATTCATTTTATTCACGTGAAGCCTAAAAATACCCAAGGAAAAAACGTGTTACCTTTGTTAATTCTCCACGGCTGGCCAGGATCAGTCAGAGAATTTTACGAATTAATTCCCATGCTAACTTCTCCACAAGCAGACCATGATTTTGTCTTTGAAGTTATTGCGCCTTCGTTACCAGGTTTTGGTTTCTCCAGCTCTGCAGTGAGACCTGGGTTGGGTGCCAAAGAAATGGCTGTTGTTATGATGAATCTGATGCGCAGACTGAGCTTCGATAAATTTTATACCCAAGGCGGCGACTGGGGAGCTAAGATTTGTGGACAAATGGCGACGTTATTTCCTGAACAGTATGAATAATTTTGAACAGCAAATTATTAAAATCAATTGATGACATTCAATTACATTTTTAGTCTCTTGGGAATCCATTTAAACTATTGTTATCTTGCGGAATGGAAATCAGTGTTCAAAATATTTTTATACAGTTTCTTTCCTTCATTACTACTGCCTAAAGAAGATCATCATCTTCTTTATCCAATGAAGAAACATTTCTTCAAAACACTTCTCGAGACTGGTTACTTACATATACAAGCAACCAAACCTGACACTGTTGGTGTGTAATTTATTTAATATTTATTTTTTATTATAATAATAATAATAATAAAGTTAGTTGACATTTTTAATTTTTTTTTTTTTTAATTATTAAATTAGAACTAAGAAATATTTTTTAGAAATTGCACTTTGAGTTTTTTTTTTTAATTAAATTATAAGTGGAAAATTGCATTTCTAGTTTTTTAAATCTTCGAGAAGTAAAGTTATTATTTTAATATTTTTGTAACAATTTTATCAATAAGAAAATCAATGTATATTTTTTAATCACCGTTAATTTCTTAAAATTGCAGGAATTGGTCTGAGTGACTCACCAGCAGCACTAGCCGGTTATGTGCTAGAAAAATTTTCTTATGGCACAAACCCTTCTTATCAATCCAAAGATGATGGCGGAATTTATGAAAAATTCACCCCAGACACTTTAATCGACAATTTAATGATCTACTGGATCTCAAACAGCATAACAACGTCCATGCGACTTTACGCAGAGTCATTGAATTCTTTTAGTAGACTCTCCGAATTATCGTACGTAATATTAATCTTTATTTTATTTCTTAACATTTATAAATTATCAATTATTTAATTTTTTAATTTTTTAGGTGGCCTATCAAAGTACCCACAGCCTGTGCACAATTTCCACACGAGTTATTTTATTATCCTCCGAAATTGCTTCAAGACAAATACCTCAATCTAATCCAGGTAACGAGGATGCCTCGAGGAGGACATTTTCCTGCGCTAGAAGAACCAAAACTTTTGTCCGATGATATTTGGAAATTTACAGCGGCTACATTTAACTCTTCCAAATTATCAGAAACCAAAAAAGATGAATTTTAACGTCGCAGTAATTATTATTAAGTTAAAAAATTATAAATTTTCGTTACTTTATTAATAAACATATATTTTATAGTCATAAAATTATTTTTATAAGATACACAGGTAGATAGAGAGACTTTTATGCAAAAGATAAACTTCTTTAGAAAAATAAGTCTTAGATAGAGAACTAAATCTTATTAATAAATGCGTGAAGAAACGTTTGAAATTTGCACTAATAAAAATCTGTAAAATTGTTTAAAATTAATAACATTCAATGCCTTTGTGTAGATCTCTCCACTTAAGTAAATACCGAGATAATTTTATATAGAAAAAGAATGAGATAAAGATCTCTTATCGGTCAAATTTTATAATAATTTTAATATATAAAAATCAGAATAAGCAAAAATAATGAAAATTTTATAGTAGGTAGATTTATGTTTATATATAATCCTAGAAATAAACCTGTTACGCAACTATCATGACTTTTTCATACAAGTATGATACTTAAACTTCGGACTTAATTGAAGTTGAGACGAGAGTAACGGTTAGTTTTGCTCTGACGGGCGTCCAATCCACCGTTATCTTACCGGGTTGTAACAGATTCATCTTTTGAATTGGTCAAGGAATAAGTTTTGCAATTATTAGTTTTTTATAAAAATAAAATGGGGTTTTTTGTAGTGGTTAAAGTTATTGTCGGATTGTTAATGGTAGGTTTTATGTCATTGTTTTATTTACAAAAGTCGTCTGTCAAAACGATAGAATTGCCGAATACTTGGTGGGGTCCAGGAACAGAAAATTTACAAGCTGACAAAACTGTCAGACAGTTTGAAATTTTATTTACTGAAGCGGTAAGCAATTAATTAATTATTTATTATTTATTTAGTTGTATAGTTCAATGAATTATAATACGAGTTAATAATTCATTGTTGATAACTTTATCAGCAAGTGAATGACCTGAAAAGCAGATTGAAAAACACGAGAGACTTGGCTCCACCTTTGGAAGGTACAGGATGGACTTACGGAACAAGTGGGACTTTTTTGAAAAAAAATATTGTTGATTACTGGCTGAACAAGTATGACTTCAAAAAGCGACTCGCGTATTTGAACAAGTACGACCAATTTAAAACAAACATTCAAGGTAAGCGCATCCATTAATTATTAACTAACAATTAATAATACTGATTGATAATTATTTGTTGAAGGTTTGGATATTCATTTCATTCACGTGAAACCTAAAAATACCCAAGGAAAAAAAGTGGTACCTTTGTTAATTCTCCACGGCTGGCCAGGATCAGTCAGAGAATTTTACGAATTAATTCCCATGCTGACTTCTCCACAAGCAGACCATGATTTTGTTTTCGAAGTTATTGTGCCTTCGTTACCAGGTTTTGGTTTCTCCAGCCCTGCAGTGCGACCTGGGTTGGGTGCCAAAGAAATGGCTGTTGTTATGATGAATCTGATGCGCAGACTGGGCTTCGATAAATTCTATACCCAAGGCGGCGACTGGGGATCTATCATTGTCGGACAAATGGCGACGTTATTCCCTCAACAGTAAGAATTATTCCATGAATCAGTAGATAAATATTCATCACAGTGACTTACAAAAATATATAATTTATTTTTCCAGCGTCTTAGGAATTCATTCAAATTTTTGTGGCGTATTAGGCTTCAAAACAACTTTAAAAACATTCTTATACAGTTTTTTCCCTTCATTACTACTGCCTAAAGAAGATCATCATCTTCTTTATCCAATGAAGAAACATTTCTTCAACAAACTTCTTGAGACTGGCTACTTGCATATACAAGCAACCAAACCTGATACTGTTGGTCTGAATTATTTATTTATTCCTCTTCTCTATAATTCACTAAAAATTTAATTCAATAAATAATAATATTTAAATATAAAATTTTGCATATAGGAATCGGTCCAAGTGACTCTCCCGCATCTCTAGCCGGTTACGTGCTAGAAAAATTTTCTTCAGCAACAAATCCCGATTACAAAACCAGAGATGATGGGGGAATTTACGAAAAATTCACTGCAGACGCTTTGATTGACAATTTAATGATGTACTGGATACCAAATAGCATGACTACGGCCATGAGAATTTACGCAGAATCATTTAATTTGCAATCTAGCTTGAACGAGATGTAGTATGTGTTTTAATAATCTTTTTATCTTCTTTTAATTTAATTAAGACTATCAATCGAAAAAAAAAAAAATTTGTTTTAGCTGGCCTATTATAATCCCGAGTGCCTGCGCGCAATTTCCCAAAGAGTTGATCTTCTTTCCTGAAGAATTTCTCCGAGATAAATTCTACAATCTAATCCAAGTGACAAGGATGCCTCGAGGAGGACACTTTGCTGCTCTAGAGGAGCCCAAACTCCTGTCAGACGACGTCTGGAAATTCGTAGCAGCCGTTGATAATTCTTCAAAGTCAGCAAACGCTAAAAAAGACGAATTTTAATTGTAAATAAAATTGCAAGTCATTAAAATCAAAATGTTTATAATAAATATTTGTAAAAAATGATGCAGAGTATTTTTTTCAAACACAAATACAATGACACATCAAGTTTCACAGTTGCATTGAACAAAAAAAAAATTAGATAAGAGAATGACACAAAAGAATTATTAATCCTCTGTCTCACTCATTGCGTGTATATATAACTCCATTTTTCTTCCATTATACTACTTAAAACGCGACAATCACCATTGATAATATACCACCGGACTTTATACTTTATATTTGCACGCTCGTTTTTAAGATACTTGTGCACAGTGATCAGTAGAACGGTATCTGCCGAACTGTTCGGATCAAACGTTAGTGATAATGATTAAGAAATTGTTATTTGGAGTTATCGCGCTCCTGGCTGCTTACTATCTTGGGTACGTGTCTTATTTATTTTTTTGTTTAATTTATTCATTTATTACTCCTAAAAAATTTTAATATATTTTATTATTTTATTTAGGAATTGCTGTTTGAAAAATGAAATAGAAATTCCGAGAATGCCGGAGCCAAACTGGGGACCAGTTGACGGTACCAAGGATTCATCAGTGCGACCATTTAAAATCTCAGTTCCCAAGGACGTAAGAATAATATATATATAATTACTTTATTACTAACTAGAGTACGGTGAAATAAGCAATATTATTAATTCAATTGACAAAGCTACTTTTTCAAGGTAATCAACGATCTTAAAGAACGATTGTTACGGACACGTGAGCCGGTACCGCCACTTGAGAACGTCGGATGGACTTACGGACTCTCAAGCAAATACTTTAAAAAAATAATCGATTATTGGATTAATAAATATGATTGGTACAAGCGTCAAGATTTGCTTAATAAATATCCACAATTTATCACAAACATTCAAGGTGATAGTTCAAATTATAGTTTATAATTATAATATTCGCTAACTAAAGTTATTCTGTAATAAAATTAATATTTAAATTGACTTATGATAATCTCTAGGACTTGATATACATTTTTATCATGTCAAGCCGAGCAAATCGCTAAGTACTGATGGCAAACCACTGAAAGTACTTCCACTTCTGCTGGTCCACGGCTGGCCAGGTTCAGTCGTTGAGTTCCAAAAAATAATTCCGATGTTAACGACACCGAGGCCGGGAAAAGACTTTGTTTTTGAAGTTATTGCGCCTTCCTTGCCTGGGTATGGCTTTTCTCAAGGAGCTGTCAGACCTCATATGGGTCATGCTCAGGTTTGAATTTGTAAATCTAAAAAATTTTAATTAATGAGTTAAGCTATTGATAATTGATAAAATGCTTTGGTTCTCAGATGGCTGTTGTTATGAAGAATCTGATGACGAGATTAGGCTTTGATAAATTTTATACCCAAGGCGGCGATTGGGGGAGCGCTATTACGACAGATATCAGTACTTTGTTTTCTGAAAGGTAATTTATGATGATAAGTATTTAAGCTCTATCTCTAGATACATAAATATGAAATGACCTTGTATCTCGTGAACTATTGACATTTTTAATGATATAAGCTCATCGTGGTGTTACACTCATCAAGACCTTTCATTTGAGTACCCACATCAATTTTTCATATATTTTATATATTTATATATATATATATATATATGTATATATGAAAAATATATCAAAAATGCATGTGGATACTCAAATGAAAGCTCTTGATGAGTGTAACATCGGAATGAGCTTATATTTTTAAAAATGTAAATACTTAAGAAAGTACAGAGCAATTTAACAAAAATCATTATTTAATAAAGCAAAATTTCTTTCTATTATTAATATAAATAATTTTTGCAGAGTTACTGGTGCCCATTTAAATATGTGTGGAGTACGAAATTCAAAATCGTTCTTCTGGCTGTTAGTAGGCTCATATTTCCCGTCACTGGTCATTGAATCCGAGCACTATTCCAAAGTATATCCGTTGACCGAAAAATGGTCGAGATTACTTGAAGAGTCTGGTTATTTCCATCTTCAAGCTACGAAACCTGATACTATCGGTAAATATTACACCAATATATCCAATCTATTTTTTTCATACATATTTATCGATAAAAATAAATCCAGGCACAGCACTGATGCAAGCACCCGCATCTCTTGCAACTTATATCCTGGAAAAATTCAGCACGTGGACCAATCCTGAGTACAGGTTCCGCGACGACGGCGGTTTGTTGGAAAAGTTTTCCATGGATGAATTGCTTGACAATATAATGGTTTATTGGATCACTGATTCGATAACAACCAGCGTGAGACTCTACGCCGAAAGTTTCAGTTCTGAAAATAACAACAAATATGATTCGTGAGTATTTTTCTTAATAAATAAATTAATTAATTAGTAATACAATTTTATCATATATTAAATTTTTATATTTTTTTTTTTCAATAGATTGACGACAAATGTACCAGTAGCGTGTGCAAATTTCCCCCACGAAATAGCGTACACACCAAAATCATTAATTGAAATGCGATTTAAAAATCTAATTCAATTCAATCATCTCCCTCGTGGTGGACACTTTGCTGCTTTTGAAGAACCAAAACTTCTTGCTGATGATTTTTGGGAATTTGTTGAAAAAGTTGAACAAAAATTCACAAAATAATAATAAAAATAAAAATAATAATGAGAATCAATTTAGGAGATATTTAATAATTTTTTTTAACAAATAAATAATGGCAAAAAAAAATGAGAACAAAAAATTGATATGAAGAAATTTTAAAAAATTATCGATGCAATTTTTTAAAAATAATTTTTCGGAGCAAATTTATTTATTAAAAAAATTATCAAGTGACAGCTATAACTTTAATGTCATAAAATAATATTATTATTTTTTTATTATGATTATTATTATTATTATTATTATTATTAAAAATCGTTTAAAAAATAAGCGTTTTTATTATCCGCTAAAAAACAACTAGTGAAATCGTTTGATTTCTTTCTGTCGGTTCAGCTTTTTTTTATTTTGGAGGTGGAAGAGAACCTTGCCGATACTATTGCCGTCAGTCTTATATACTTTATAGTGGCACAAACATGAGGACAATCTTATTGTGACACTTTTTAATTTAACGGGCAAATAAACACTAAAAAAAATGTTACTTTAAAATGTATAAAATAAAAAACAATAAACTAAACTAAAAAAAATAAATTATTAAATCTAACTAATAAAGTTAAAAACTGTGCCAATAATGATTATTGTTGAAGCTGATGTATACTCCGTACAGCCAAGCACATCATACAGGTAATTAAATTTTGTGTTCCGTAATTACTCGTTATTATAAATAATAATAATAACCGATAATTAATTCAAATCACTTTAATAGTAATCTATTAACAATAATCAACAGCTGACAGTTGTAATCAAGTGACAACTTGATAGAAAGTTTTTATTCAAGGATGTAGTAATTTAATATCCAATTTATTAATTCACAAATAAAATCTACCACCAAATATTTATATTTAACACTCAACCTTGAATTTTAAATTGTTTTAGATAAATTAATCAACTAGTTACAAGTTAGACACTCAGTGATAGTAATGAACTATTTTCAATTAACTTAAACATTGAATTTATTGAATTATTTGTGAGAGGTTGTATTTGTAGCGCGATTGCCACATCTCTTAGATATATTCACTCATGAATGTCACGATATTATGACTCTTTACTTACGCTCATGGTATATACAAAATGTACACATATATAGAAATATATTTCTATATATATGTTTGTGTTAGTCATAATGCAGATAGGGGGAATTCATCGGGGGAATTGTAAAAGTTTCTTTTATACACAACACTAGTACCCACGAAACTACGACCATAGAATGTTCTATTAAAATTTTCTGAGGTTAAATTTTTGGGATTAAAAATGTACTAATAAATAAATAATGTTTTCACGATCGAAATTTCGGTTTAACAAGCCATTGTTCGGCGGCAAACGTAAAAATTATTCACGTAATTTAGTGTTTCTCAACAGAAGAAGACATCATGACCATGAGTATCGAGATCGTCATCACATCAGAGATGACAGGTATTAATTTAAACCTTAAAAATACATGACATTAAAGTTAGCAGTCACTAGAGAATTTTTTTATTTTTTTTTTTAACAAAGAAATTTGCTCCGAAAAAATATTAATAAAGTTACCCGACATTTTTGATTTTTTTATTTTGCTTAATTTATTAAATTATAACTAAAAAATATTTTCAAAAAATTGCACTTATAGTGGTTTTTGAATAATAAAAATTTTTAGATGTCGGCTAACTTAATTTTCATTTCAAAAAATTGCATTTTTAATTTTTTAAAATTTCTACATGTCAATTTTTTTGCCATAATTTTATTTGTTAAAAAAATTATTAAAAATAAGTAACTAAAATATAAAAAAATAAAATAAAACAGTTGAACGTGCGACATGCGGTGAAATTTAATAAAAAGTTAAAAACGTAAAAATGTGTATGTTTGCTTACATGGTAGTACGAAGGTTTTATATTTGGATATAAAGATGGTAAAGCCGGTACAAAGATGATTTAAAATAAAAATAAAAGTAAAGCCAAGCCGTAGGACTGTGGGAGTAGAGTCGAAACAAAACGTGATCACTGAGAACTGTGCTGGGACCTTTCAGGTACCTGTATTAACACTGTCTACGTATTATATTATATCCAATACAGTTACAGAGAGTTTACTTGCGTTTGTTACTACTACATAACACGGTCTTATGTTGTTATTCTATGTATTGATGCTGGTGGATGTGTGGACGTGCAGATGTAGATGTATAAGAGCTCAGCGTTTAAGTCCTTTAGTCATTTCTCTTTTTATTCCCTTTTTGCTCTCAGCATTCTTCGTCTCACTGGTCCAGGTCAGTCGAGATCCAGGTTTAAGAAGACGCTTTTATTTCCACAGTATCGCTCTTTATTTTTTAACAATATAAATAATTATTAACTGTTTGTTTCTTCATTTTTAAATAAATTCAGTACTCTTTCTATTGGACTTGGTAATATTTTGACGTTCACGTTTGTCAACAGTTTTTAACAGAATAATTAAAAGCAAGAGCTAAGAAATGCGTTTTAAAAACCCGCTGCCGCAACGAGGAATCTACAAGTAAGATGAGAAGGTGGTTTATATATCTATAAGAATGTTTAATTAGTTTTTTTAATTTATTATTTAAATTTTAGGATATTAATATTTTATAAAAAAAAACAAATTTTTGATGTAGATTGCTCTTTTAATTTACTACTCCTTTATTTAAAATGCTTATGTTCATTCACTGTGAAGTTAAGGTTCTACGTATAGTTATAATAATAATAATAATAATAATAATAATAATAATAATAATAATAATAATAATAATAAGCATGTCTTATTATTATAATATTATGTGCTCCGCTGATGAAGAGTGTGGGTGTATGGAGAGTTTTGGTGTCTCATTGGCTACTACTACGTTCAAAACTGCTTACGCTACTCTGGAATAGAAAGAGTAGAGGTACACCGTTTGTACCTTAACAATGCTATGAAGTAATGAAACACGTAACGCTTCTCACACTTCTTAGCTTTTGAGTGATGACAATGTCTTGGACGAAATGCTGTGTGGGAGCAGAGTGTGTCTTTAGTCGCTTTAAATTGTACGAAATGACTGGAGTTATTTTTTTTTTGTGTTAGATTAGTTTAAGAGTCTCTTTTTTAGTTTTCAATTTTTAATTGCGATAATTTCAAGTTATTTTAGTTTTTTAAATTTTTGGTGAATGTAGAAAAATTTTAATTGAAAGTTTTTAATTTATAGAAAGTGAGGAAGAAACAGGAATTTATTTTGGATTGAAAGTTTTAGTTTAAATTAAAATTTAGAAAAAAACTTTTTATTGTAATTTAAATATTTTTATTTAAATAAACTATTTAAAATTTTTATTTAAAGAAATTATTTATAATTTTTATTTAAATAAATTATTAAAAATAGTTTTAAGTAAATTTAAAAAAAAAAAACCATAGAATTGTTAAATTTTCAGTCAGTAAAAAAGAGAGAATGACTCAGAGTTATGTAGTATGAAAATGGGGGTAAAGAACGTCAGACACAAAAGACCGCTGGTTCCGTATTATCAAATCTAGGGGGTTGTAGTTAGCGTCTGGTCAAACGCAGCTGTCTGTTGCTGCAGTTGAACTCGCACGTGTTAAAATTACTTTTAGTGTCTAAATAAAATTATCGAATTAAAACCAAAAACAAGCAAAACAGAAGCTTTTTTTCACATTGTGGATCGGTTATCAAGTCAATGACCAAATAGATCAACAACAAAATAAAGTAACTTCGTTGGATAAGAGATAAGAAGAGTGAATGAATTAAAACTGGACGTAATTGGAGTGAAATAGTTTGACGACTCGACCTCAGCGTCGGGGTTATTAACTTTTATTAGCTCTAATAAATAGTTTTAAATTACAGTCTTAGTAATATATGAAGTCTTCTCAGTAAAGTTCATTTGATAACTCGTTTTCGTAACTAGTGCACCGATAATTTATACGCATACGTTTTTACTACTAAATACACTATATCAATATACAAAGTTATTTATAATGACACGAGATAATATTTTTGATAAAATGGGCTTGCGAAAAAGCAATGAAGAACAGCAATTATTATTTTATTCGACTCTAACAGTTGAAGAAAAAGCGCGTATGCATCCTTGTACCAAAGCGACTTGGTATGTCTCAAAAATTCATTTTTAAAATTAATATTTTATCTAATAATATTGTAATTTAATTGAATGTTAATTTAAATAATAATAGAAAGTAGATTTTGAAAAATAAAAATAATATCAAGGCTGACAAGTATATTTAATACTTTTTTTTTTGTCTACTATGCTGAGAGAGGTAAAAAATCTTTAATAAAAGTATTTTATACTGAATATCATATATCTTTTAAGAGTCAGCATACTTATTGTTTAATATTCAAAAGTTTTACTATCTTTCGTCATAACATGAGTCTGTGGAAGAAATTAAATATAAATGTATTTAGTTTGTATTTTAAAAATTTTTTTAAATTTCTTAAATCTATCTTCTCTTTACAGATGCTATTTATTTTATATAAACATTAATAAAAATTCTACACATAAAAATGTAACATGTTGTAAATTGCCAAGGGCGTTTCTTTACAACTAAATAAATAAATAAATAAATAAATAAATAAATAAATAAAATGTATTTTCTTTTAATTAATGAATTATTTTATTTATTTCCAGTGTGATGATGTCCGGAGATTCACCAGGACTGGACTCCCGATCGATACCGGCAAGTTACGATTTACCTGATGACGCACGTCCTGGAGAATTACCACCGGTTATTCCGTTAAGTTCAACCGGTAAATTAAGTCACTCAAACCATGACACCGACAACGAGACCATTGAAGAAGTAACGACAATTGTGAAAAAAACGCTGCCCAGTCCGGAACCACGGCCAAAAATCTACCAGAAAAATGGCATCGATAGTGATAACAATAACAAATTAAAATTGGAGAACAAATTTGCTGAAAATAATAAAGAAGACAACGATGCATGCGTTAATTGTCTTTACTATACTCAACAGTTTTGCGAGTGTGTAATACTATGAGCGGTAAATTGTAAATTAAATGTTATATTTACTGAATTATGTATTAAATATGTAATGAGTAATTATTATTATTATTATTATTATTATGTGAGAATGTATATAAGATTTGAAAATTATTTTAAAAACAATTTTATATCCGTACTCATTTATAAAAAAAAAAAAAAAGACAAATTACAAATACATATTTTTGTATTTTTCCTGCCAGTTTTATTATTGTTTTAATAAAAAATAGTTTACCTAATTAATTATTATTTCATTAACTGTAATTATAAATTAATCCCGCATTAAGTGAGTTTGGAGAAACTCTTCGACGTCATCAGTATCCCATTTAGTGATGTCAAGTATGTCTTCTAGTTTATTATCATGGTCATAAAGTTTAATCATTGGGTCCAGGCCTCTGACGTACTTAATCTCAAGGTTTTTGTGTTTGCTGGGACGATCACTTTTTATGAAAGCCTGGATTTGAGGGTAAGCTCCGAATTTACATGTACAAACTTCAAGCACTGCTCGTGGATAACGCTTCGAGCTTGAGTCTTCTTCTTTGAGACAGCATTCTTGACAGTTGTTACTGTTGAATTTTAATTTTAATTTAAATTACTTCACTTTTATTTAGTATTAAAATTTTTTTTGTTAAAGAGGTATAAGTACCATGGATTATTAAATGCCAGATAGGTTAATACTTACTCAAGTTCACTTAAATTGTATTTAGAAAATTGATCACAAGTCGAGCATAATAAATTAGCTCTGTTAAATCCTAGAGACTGGCAATCTTCACTAGTAAATTCTGAGAAGACATTTACCTGTAAAAATTTTTTTTAATTATTAACTGATAAACGTCAGCAAGTACTTGAAGTTAATTTTTATTGTTAAGATTAGTACTTACAGTTGCGAGGATCAAGATGAATATATAGGAGTACATTTTTTACTTGTTGAATTATTTTTAGGGCTACCAGGTAGTTTTTAAACAATTAGTAAATAAATAATCGACGGTGTCAAGCGAGATTGGTATTTACATGCGTGTTTAGAATTATGCATGCTAGTACAATACGTGTCATGTGGCTATAGGATGTATGACAACAAATGATAATGATAATGATAGCATTATCTTCTAGATGTCGCTGAAGTTGACTTTTAAAATTTATATGAATTTTTATATTTATGTTTAAATTGAGAGAAATTTATTATTTTTTTGTCTTTTTTTTAAGTAAAATTGTAAAAATAATTATTTTGATTCAATTTCATTGCACTTGGTACCAAAATATTTTTCATTTTAAAAGTACACATAAAAAGTAAAGAATTAATAACGGCGGGGAGCCGTTGACTTGCGCAGAAGTCCGAAAAAACTCTACTGCGCATATTCTAGATGCTTTTCCGACTTTTCCGTCAGTCTCCCCCGCTTAATCTTAGTCGCGTAACATGTCAACAGGGTAGCTCGTCAAAATGATTCAATTTATTGATGAAACAATCTAATTATTCACTTAAATCGACTAAAATATCTCCAAAAATATAAAATAATATGAATTTCAATCTGTCAGTCATTGTTTTAGCTAAAATCTAATTGTCAGCCCTTGCAGGTACGCGTTTCAATTTTAAAATTTTCATTTTTAATTATACTTATTTAAAAGTCGTAATTTTATCAAAATTAGTATTTCAAAGCAGCCATCGCGATCAATAATTAATTACTGACAATAATTCATTCGTTTTCGTGTTTTCGTCTTTAATTTATAGTTAACCAAGAAAAAAATTTCCGACCTTATCAAGCAACAAGATGGTGTCATCTTTTCCAGCTTTCGGTATAACAACTAGCGCATATTATATTTCGTCTGTAGTTGATAATGAATCTAACAGATGGCGCTAATGGCTCTTTTAAATTCAAAAAAGTTTCGTAGCAATGACAACTAAGCCTGCAATTGTCAAGATTCTTTTAATATTTATTATTAAAATCAAAATAATAAAACCAAAATTTCAACAATAATTATGAATAACAGTAAGTACCCGAGTTTCGGTAAAAAATAAAACCCGTTATATTTATCCCAAGATGAAATAAAAAAACGATAATCCAGCAATAATTCACTGTTAATAATTATTACGAGGAGTAATTTACGGATATTATTTATATTTTTGAGATGACCCTAAAATTATCGAATTAGAAAAATGATGAATAATTAATCTCGAGGGTTTAATTGTCGGTGAGAAAAAGCCGGTAACTATTTTAATTGTCGATTAGTATCCAGTAATTATGCAACGGAGTATATAATTTAAAAGAGTTAGCTTCTCGTGTTACTCATCTGGAAGTCGGAGTGGGTCGGTCGTCGGTCTGACATGCTGCTGGTGCCGGTGCCGGTGCCTTAGTTATAGCCGTTGCACAGGACTTGTAATAATAAATTATTATGCTACTCACGGATAATCGAGGTGACGAGATGGGTGGCTGAGACTTGCCCAGCGATTCCTTATCGGCAGCAGCATAAGTTTGCACTCACAATCGGCAAGAGGCTGCCGGTGATGCTGAAACTTGTACGTCTTCGGCGTGGTAGGACGTATTGGCTCTTTTTCTTCGCCACCACTCACAGGATCGCCTCTCTCGCTCACATATATTCACATACCTGCCGGCAAGTGGTTTTATTTGGTAGTGTATATGCCCCCGGTCCATTATTTGCCTTAAACTAAAATAAAACCAATGGGAGCAAGCAACCTTTCGAGTTTCTACACGTCCATGTAAGAAAGGTAAGTTATGATACCTGAGATTATTTTTAATTATAATTATATATTAATTTATTTTTATATTTAAAACCTCCTCGATTAATTTATTTTACTTGTATCTATTAAAGTACACAACTAATATCTTCATATTTAATTCTACGTGCTCTCCTATTCGTATATGGATCTTTAAAAGTAGCTCTAGCTCGAATCCAGCATCCCAGGAGTTAGCAGAAACTTTCTTGATCTTAAGCTTTGTCAGTGGCGGGCGTATTGTGGGTGGTTTGCTGGCGAGCGGATTTTCTGCGGTCTTTGCGGCAGTCCCGACAACGTCTCGTGGCCGTGGGAATACTGCAAATTGTTCTCCCGCTCCCCCGCTGAGTTTATATACATCTATATACGTGTATATATTTATATCGAGATATAAGGCTTGCTAATCGCTGCTAAACGCCATGCGGAAGTTAGCACTGACTTCATCGTATCCACGATTAGACAGTGGTTGTCATTTTTACTGATAAACTGGTAAACTGGTAAACTGGTAAACTGGTAAACTGATACTCCTGCGCCTATCCAATCGTTTAAAATGAGGCGTGTTTTTTTTTTTTTTTTTATCAATCAATATACAGATTTTATTTTTAGTTTAACGAAGAAAGGAATATTTTTTAATTTCTTCGGAGAAATTTCTTATACTTTTTTTTATTTCTAGAATTTATAAAAAATTATGTCAGAATTGATTTACTCAAAAAATAATTAATTATACATTGAACTAGATTTACAGAATAATTTGAATAATAATGTTTCGGTAAGCATAACTATTATAATTTTAATTTTAATATTTTGATTAAAAATTCTTATTCAAATTAATACCTCTTTCAATTTAGTTCAATGCATATTTATTATTTTAAAAGTAAATAAATCTTTTGAAATATTTTTTTAAAAAATTATTAAAACATTTTTTTCTCTTTCGTCAAAATTAAATCTACAAATCTTCAGATAATCTTTCAGTACCATAAAAAACATAATTAGAAACAGGTCTTTTTAGTATGAGCACCACAAAATGATAAAAAAAAAAAAATTTATTGTTATTACATCTTATTACAAACAAAAACAAAAGTTGGACCACCATGAGCTACTCCGAATTCTGCTCTGGATCGAGGACTTTTATGGAGGATTCAAGTTCTTGGGCAACGGCGTGCCCTTGTTGGTCTTGTTTTATAAAAGTATTTTTTGTATATGTTGTTGTTGATGATCTTACTCTTATTTAAACAGTTGACTCCCTTTGGTCTTGCAGTGGTGTTTCTTTAAAATGGTGTTCGGCATTTACGACCAAGAACTAAGGGACCAAAAGCAAGAGCTAAGAACTCGTTGAGCATTACTCTCGGGTCTACTCTTTATAATACTTATAATACTTTCCGAAGACAGTGAGCCAGTGGACCCTTATACTTCAGAGAAGAGTAGGGAGAGCATAAGCTAAGCCATCAGAAGGTAGAAAGGAAGGTAGAACAACAACTGTTGAGCATAACGCTGTGTGGTAGACAGAGTAGGTTGCTAAGGCTGGTTGGTACAAAGATTAAAGAGGGAAGGAGAGGGGTGAGAAAGCCAACGGTGAGGAGGAACCTCTGAGGACCGTACGACTTACAAACTCAACTGGCGAACGAGGATAAGAAGAGAGAGAATAAGTTACCAGAGCACCCAGTCCTTCTCGACGCGCTGAACAGATCCTACGTGCTTTTATTACCGGTACGCGCTCCTATCCAAGACACAACATTATCCAGATATTGATATTGATATTGCAGATAAGCATAAACTCCGTGGTTAAATAAACTCCTACTGGACGAATTTATACTCTGATCAGTGGACCCTTGAGAGTAGTTAGTGCCTTGATATGTGACTGAGTCCTCAGCACAGTGTCACAATCACAAAAGTTGTGTAACCCACTCGGTCAATCTTTATTGTCTGTCATCTTTATTTATTTTTTGGGACAAGAGTTTTATTTATCCTACGAGTAGAGAGTGACGATAGAAAAATCCGGAGATAGAGAAAGAAAGAGGAAGACCGAATAAAAGAGATGAGGAACTAAAGCCTACAAAACCTGTTTTTTATTATTACCAAGTGTTTCATTCAAAAAATCCTACACGAGGTGCTATTGCTATTGATCTTGATCAGACCTGTTTTTAATTAATGTTAATAATTATTTACTTATTTATTTATTATTACTTTGGTAATAGTATTTAAATATTATGTTTCAAACTGGACAGTGAACTTGCGCTACCGGTGTAGCTATAGACTAGGACTGTTGATGATAATTATAATTATTATTATTATAATGAATACATATATCATGGAGTCATTAAAAGTGTCCGCGAGTACTAAGATTGTTAAAAAATTAAATTACAGATTTGTTGTTGAACAAAGTCCAGAGGTGAACGAATCTACGGTGTCCTGGACGGAGTGACTTGTTGTTTCAAGTTGAGCGAGAGTGGACGAAGGAACCCGAAAAAAGGCTCAAGAGGAATGGAAGAGGCGATGCGGAGAACCAGGACCGAGCAGAACCAGTGGTTCTCACCCAGGGCTGACAAGGATGACAAGAGACCTGGAATTGGCTCTGGAGCTCTACACTTTATACGCAACCGTGGAAGTATGAGGCGGCAACTTATGCGAGACTCTAATCGGTAAGTCACAATACAATTTACAATTGTCTTTGATCTATTGGATATTTTTTAGGAGTAATAGACTAAAATAATTAGCAAAAAAAAAGGTATCGGGACAATCTTGGACAGATAACTAGTATATAGAGTTGGTAGAGGCTTTGAGAGAGACCACACACGGATAAAACATACTTGGGCAAGGAAAGCCGCGTGGTTATCCGCCAACACTTCCGTGTTGTTAAACTAATGAATCGCCTTCCTGGAGTCCTCAGAGCTTTAGCAACGACAAGGGTCTGAGTCTGGTATCCTCCATCTCCGATCCTGTCCCTTGTCCTTCTTTCTTTATCTCTTTCTATCGGAGGACCGAGCAGAGGACCGAGTGTTTAGCCAGAGTCAACTTGTTCTCCATCTTTTTATTTTACATTGTTCATTTTTTTGCTTACCATTATTTTAACATTGTCCAGTGTCTTCCTCCCTCCCACGTAAACGTCAGTCTGCTCAGTCTCTAGTTGGTTAAGTTAAATCCCGTCTCTGTCTATGTCTCTGGTTCTATCCTCCATCCTCGATACTCTAAGCTCGTAGTTAAGTTCGTAGTCCTGCATGTATGTCGCCAGCACTCACATATTTATAAACACACCCGCTAGGCAATGCTCAACCTGGACAGGTCAGACCCCATTATCGGTAGCGTATCGTCGACCACGATCAATCGTGAACAATTATAATGCATAACGGGCGAAGCAGGTTGTCCGCCGCCGAGTAGCCACCAGTAACAACAGCAGCAGCAGCAGCAGCAGCAGCAGCAGGAGTTACAGCAGCACACATACTCATACAGCAGATACTTGTATGTTGTTATTATTATTATTATTATTATTATTATTATTATTATTATTATTATTATTATTATCCATGTGTGTTGCCGCGGGAGTAATGAACGAGGCAAGGATGTAAGTCTACATACACTGCAGACTGTAGTAATGCCAGGGGTATGTATGTAATAGTACGAGTAAGCCGAACCGTAGCAGAACCGACAACCGAGTGGAGAACCGACGGGGGATTATATATCTGAAATCTAAGATTCCATGTACGGTTCACCGGAGCTCGACCCTGATGCCACGATCTCGCGAACCATTAATCCAACCACTATGATACTCTATGAAGAATAAAACTATATAATATAATATAATACGATGGAGTAAGGAGGATATTCTAGTAGACGACCTCGACCTCGAACAGTGATAAAACCCCTCGGTTAACCTTTTTTATAACACAAAAGCTATTACTAAGTACTTATACTTACGATCCAGTTCGGACCTTACTCTTCGAGGGGTTTTCTCTCGCCAACCAGCGCTATAAGACTATGAGAGAGACTATTAAAGTTTGGTCCTATCTTCCGATCCCCGTCTTTAACCTTACCTCTTCTCGGCTTTTAATATATTTCGTTGAAACACTTTTATTACTGTGGTATAGGGTACAGCCACAAAGGAGTTCCTATTCTACTCGGAACATTATTATTTCAACAATCTTAACAATTACAATTATTTCCTTATCGTATAATTGCTTAGGAAATATCAGTAAGCATGAAAATTCTTATATCAGCAATTGTATACTTGTACTTTTATTTTATTTATATTTCACTGGAACAAATACTTTGCTTTTTTTTTTTTATTATTATTATTTTATTATTGCTGTTACAATTATAAACATTATTGTTATTATGTAATTACATATAGTTACGTTAATTAATTTCAACCAAGTTGGTTTTATTAAACGGAGTTCGTAGAAATTAAATGTTTTTTTATTACCGCTGGTGAATAAAACTATTTATTCAAGTAAATAAATACATTTATAATGAATAAGTTTTTTCGGAAATTTTTTTTTATGTCAACGTTTCTCATAGTTTTATTATACTCGGTAATTATTATAATTATTCCTTATAAAATGATAATTATTATACTTACAATTAAATCTACTTATTAATTTTAAATGATATTTATTTATTTTTTATTCAAACTTATTTAATACAAAATTTTCGGTTGCGGTTAAATATTTTTCTTCCTTTTAATGCTTAAATTTATTAGTTGAAATTCAATAAACCGGCGAATAAAAAGCAACAATAATGAAAAAAGTTACAGTCGTCAGTTTTCAATCGGAGATTTAGCTTTATCCGAGATTTCCGATGTGCTAAAGTCAAGGTATATTCATATAATATATTATGTCCCATATAACCAAAGCGTAACATTAATCCCGGATCAAATTAGATCTCAGAAAAACTGGCCCTAAATTTTTTAATAAAAGATTTTATCGATTCTATTTATAAAATTTTTGTTGCGTTCTAAGAAATTATTTATCTATTTTTTTTTCTGCATTTTTAAAGAAACTGTTACATAATAAAAACTAATATGAATATGTTGTCATTCAGCTTACATGCCTCGGCATTAAAAAATTCGATAAATTATTTATAAACATATACAACTCTCAATATTGCAAGCACTTGATCAAAACTTTTGAATAGTTAATCTTAATCCTAAATAATATCTTAAAAAAAAAAATAGTAAAATTTAGTACAAACTACCTTGACATTGGGAATAAAGAGTCGCATAGAGTATGCAGATAAAATAGTGAATAGATAGTAATTTTATTGATTGTTATTGATAAGCAGTACCGTAACTTACATAATGGATAGAGTTACTCATCTTGATACAGATCTACGGTTAAATTTATCTCGTCGTCTCGTTTAATTGTCTCCAATTGATTATCAGAGACATCAATGCCCCCGTCTTTATTATTTTCCAGCAGGATGTCGTTTACAGAGGCATCCACCAGGCTGTGTTTTTCTGAATCGGAGTTGATTATAGCAAAGTTATTATCATCGCAATCCGATCCGGAAATCACTTTTACGTCATCGGCTGATGTTTCCAAGCTTTTTACATTAGTATCGATGAGCTCGACGCTGTTTGTGTCGGTATTTACCTCAACTTTATCGACTTTAGCGTCGATTAGGCGGAATTTTTCAACTCCGGCATCTACTATTTTAATGTTGTTGTCATTGTCATTGGCTATCACTATTGTATTAGTTTCGGCGTCAATCACGTCTATGTTTTCCACTTGAGTACCCACGATGTTGTCATGAGCATAGTTACTAACTTTTGTTAGCTTATTGTCGACTATGCTTACGCTTTTCATAGACAAGGCAGTTGGACTTTTATTAATCATTATCAAGTCTATTATTAGGAAAGACTGCTTTAGACACCGGTCCGATACAAAATTTGATTCAACGCGGCTTTGGATCAGGGGTTGGCATACCAATCCCGGTCCAAGACATTTTGATAGTGTCACTCGGTAGTTACGAACTCCGCAGCCTATTTCTACCGGAAAATAATGCTCCTCTGGCCAATGGAATGGTAGTATGTCTGTCAGTTTACGATCCTAGTAAAAAAAAAAAATTAATTATTATTCAGATTGTTTAAAGAAATTATAATTTAAATATTTGGATTTTTTAGAAATTGTTTGGAGAGTTTTTAAATTACAAACTAGAAATTCATTAAATTTTTCCATTACAAAAGTAATACATAGTTACTATTATAAGTTAAAAAATGTGTATAGAAATAGAAGAAATTCTAGTTTTGTAATCGAGTTCTATAATTCATACTTATGACTCACTGTAATTGCTTATTGTCATAAACTAATTTTTTTGTCCTTCGAAAATACTTCATCTTATGTAATGATATTGTTTTTTGCAAGAATAAGAAAAATATTCTTCTAACAAGTCGTTACCGCAAATGTTTGTTTTTTAAACTAAAAGTCAAATAAAATTAACACGGCTGTTTTATTTCAAAAGAAATTAACTTATAATTCTTGAATTTGTCTTATAAAATGAGTTTACATTCTAAATTGATGAAAAATTTTATTTTTTCTATAAAAATAGACCAAGGAATTTCAAGACTATAATTTTTAGATGTTTAAAAAAATCTTACGTCTCTAAAATTAATTGGACATCTCAGTCCAGTCAAACCGAAGATATTACTGGGAGAAAAAGGTCTTAGGTTCATTAATTCAATGTCAAGTTGATCGCACAAGTTTATTCCCTCAATAATATCCGTGATCACTGCACCTTTCTCATCAGTAATTTGCACGGAAATCTATCGGAATAAAATGTTTTTAATTATTTAGAAAAAAAGTAAAAATAAAAATGACAAAATACTAAATAATGACAGATCACAGCGTGTATAATTACCTGAAAGTTGTCTTCATGGTAGACTTTTTGATTGAACTCCAAAAAAACGTCTCCCAGCTTTGAGGTTTCGCCGGTAACCAATGCCGAGACGTAGGGATTTGGAAGGTAATTAACATATTTTTTTGGTGCTTGAGATTGATATGTGTACAACGCCTATTACAAACCCCAGTCAAATACAAATGGACGTAGTCCATATAATATTTTTTTAATGTTAGTTAAACAATTAAAATGCTTACAAAAAAAATATTGCATAACTTACATTTGAAGATGGAACAGCAAAAACGGATAATCCTACAAACAATCCTAAGTAGCAAAAGTTCATTTTGAATGATAATTAATTTTATTTATTTAAAAAAAAAAAAAAAAGAACCTTTTATCACACCGCTGAATTAAAAAATACTCTTATAAATTTATATACGAATGTGCTTAGAGAAAACTGGCGGATTCTCACTTTAAAACACGTTTATTTATCCACCTGTTATCGCCGTGAAGTAACTTTGGACATAGTCGTCTCCGTCATTATTTCCTTATCGCACATTATTATTAAATAGCGCCTCGAAAACAGGTTTCCTCATTTTCCACCGTTCGTTTATTGAAACTTAAGTAAAAAATAAATTATTAATATAATATTAAAATAAAATATATATAAAAAAATGAATGATAAATAAATAGCCTAAGCCTAATAAAATAAATAAAAAATAAAATTAAGATGGCGATGAAGATGAAGAGGAAGGCTCTGCCCATGACATTTATGTCCCGCTCTTTTGACAACCATTAGGAAGTGTAATAAAAGGCATTCTCATTATTCAGCGGGCTGCAAACTGCTCTCGAGTATAAAAATAAATCACCGAGCTAGGTTAGCAAGGAAATACGGTTTAAGTGAAGACAGACGACATTACTTCGCCGTAAGGCTGTTGTATAGTAGTCGGGCATTTATATTTAGTAAAAATTTTAATCCCACTTTGCCTTAATTTCAGTCGGTAATAAATCGATAATCATATTTTCACGATCTCTTTTTTTTGGTTAAAATTTAATCCTTTGTCAAAAGAAAAAAAATGATTGAAGGCGTGTAATATCACATTACTCAAACTTTTATCACTTGACTAAGGTGATAGCTTAGCACTTACTCGCGCGTTGGATTTAATTGGCTTTGGGGAAGCCCAGCATCACATTAACATTATGATGCTGTAAACTAAGGCTAGGTAGATTACAAGCAAGCAAGCTTTCAGAATAAACGAAAATAAATCATAGAACAAAGGGTTCGATTAAAAGGAAATGAAGACAGTTAACGAATAAGAGATGAGAGACAAGAGAAGGTAAAGGTCAACGCTTCTTCGTCACGGACTCTCTTAGAGTCTTACTTGTATGTATCTATACCAGGGTTCAATGAGCCAGTCTCAAGACTTGGATAATACCTTTTTTCAGAGCTTACCTTTATTTTCATCTTTATCTTTTTATTTAAACTCTCAATCGTTTGGCTGTAACTCCCCTTCCTCTAGAGGCGCTACAGAGTGAAGAGTTTAGCGCTGTTCGCTGTTCGCTGTTCTCTGTTATGTTGAGAGGAGAGCGCTGCTCTTGCAATAAGGGTGTAGATGTAAATGCCCATGTCCATGTCCATGCCAGGAGTAGAATGAGAATAAGAAGTAAGGCTGAGGTGGGAGTGAGGTACGCGAATCCGGAGGCCCTTGATAGCCCGAGCTCGATGCGATTTATCGCCTGGCCCCGGGTCAGGGTCTGGAAGTGGAAACTATTACGCCGCTCAATGCAGGTTTCACGGTTGCGCCAACTTTATCCGTCTTATTATTCTTATTCTTATTCTTATTCTCATTTTCATTCTCATTCTTATTATTCTTATTAGCTCTTTTTGTTGGATAGAGGCTTATACACAATATATACCTGTATATCTGCCTACCTACCTAGTTGATCTCGGAACACAACGCAGACTAGGACTAACCGATGCCCAACTACCAAGGTGGAAGGAAATAAAAGGAAAAGGAACAGAGCTGAGAGAATAAGAGGCGGACGGCGACGAGTCGCGAGTCTTACACGCGGAAAATACAAGTGGAAGCTATAAATCTCGACATCCTCCACCAGGATCATGTGGATGGGCTCTATCTGCTGTTTGCTGTAAATGCACTCGTTTATGTTTCTACTTGTATTATATACGCCGAGACTGAGTAGTACGACTCAAGTTTGTATAAAAAATTCGAGGAGACGGGGTGGAACGGATACGGGATACCCTCGGGAAAAGTTTAACCAGGTCTGTAAAGATCAACCGGAAAAATACCGCTTCATTGCCATTTTTTTGTGATTAACAAATAAATTTAGCTGCTACAAATTTAATTAATGGATATCTTTCTTTCTGCTAATTATTATTTATCCTTCTGCGTCGTGGGAGTTTTATTATTTATAGACTTTGATAGAACATTTAAGTTAGAAAAATCTTTAGTAATTATTGTAGAGTTTAAAAAAAAAAATTAAACCTAATCTTTTCGGATTATTTTCCTAAGGATCAGTAGCTCCAACACCTCAAGAGCCAGCACCAATTAATCACAGCAATAACCCATTTATTATCAGTATGATACCCACCCAGAGGAAAATTATAATCCGATAAACGTATTTTTTGCCTCGCACGTGCCTCGTCAGACTATTAATGTGCACCATATAATAATGATGTGCCGGTGATTACAAGTCGGTGCGACTATGCTCTCTCCTGGAGATCCTCCTCCTTAATATAAACAAGGCTTGGACCATAGACCTTGTGTCTGTAGAGTCTGTACCTTGATAAGTTATTCTAGTGCATGGAACAAGAAACTATCTTAACAATCTCCATCTCGGTATATGTCTATGTCGGATTAATAAAAATCTTAACCGACAAGTCATCATCTGATGTAGTCAGAGCATCTAATGCTTTAAGTTAAGAGAAAGGAGATTGGCATTAAAATTACCTTGGACTCGTCGAAATCAGTTGACAAGCCATTGCATTACATTAATAGTACAGTCAGTGTGCTGGGTGCTTTTATTTATATATTTATAATATAATAAAATGCATATGTAGCTCTGTATGTTGAGTCTTATTCGACTCAACTCTAGACTAAGTACACAGTCTACAGTACGGATTGTAGAGTTTAAGTGTAGAGTGTTGTAAAGTACTGGAGTGCCGTCAGTTTGACCCGACCCTGTGAACTTTCCTCCCGTTAGACTCCCACTACACCCTGAAGTATGTCGTTGGCCAATCGGCGTTTGCCGTGAGTGCGAATACGAAGGGAATCTTTTGATTCGCCTCCGCCACCTTCACCTTCCTTATCCTGTCCTGGCGGCGTCACCACCGTCACAAACTTGCGCGGGAAATGGAGCACCACGTTTAACGTTAAACGCCAAAGCATACCAGCGCTATATACCGATCCAAGGTAAAGGCTCTTACGTTCAACTCGGAGCTCTTAGCTTTGAGAGTTAAATCGGCTCAGAGTGGAGCTGTATCTGACTACTCCGACATCAGAATCTATACGGTACTCTTGACTCTCCACATATCTTACTTACTTCTTATACTGAATACATATATCTGTATAACGTATACATATTGTGTGTGATAGAGCATATATACCGCCGCCATATGGATGGATGTATGTATTTATTATACGGTATATAGAATATAGAGTACTCTGAGGACATAAATCGTGATGTCTGTTCGATCATCATCACGATTTTACAGTGGCTTTAAGATATCAACTAAACTATATATTACAACTGCCACAGTTATTGCTTTTATGTACAGTTTACCTTTTTTTAGCCCATTTTTATTCGCTGTACCTCACCACTCTGTCGGCGAAAATAGGATGATAAAGTACGGCGAGTATTAAGAGTAATAACGCTAGTTTACAAGTTAACATTGTGACCCAAAGAACTTTTCTTTTAACGAGCTTTACTTTATTTATGCTAATTTTTTATAGAGCGGTTCTTTTAGAGTCTTTTCTTGTGGTTAATTGTATTGTACAGAGAAGAAAAGAAATATTTGCCCCAAATAAATATATAATAATTTTGTCAAGAATAAAATATAAAATTAATTGATCTATTTAAATGAAATCATAGTATTTTGTGTGTGAAAAATAAAGCAAAGACTGAAGAAGAAATTCTCGCGTGTCAATGATAAATTCTAAATAAGATTGAATTTTTATAACATCTAATAATTCTCAGGAAATGAAAGTTAATAATGTTTTTCAGTATTGTGTACACAATATTAACAGGGAGAAAGAAATTTCTATTGAGCTACAGTTGGCATTGAAATCACTTATTCGAAAACGCGTCATTACATGTTATATTATATTATTGCTATTGCCATTATATTACTATCACCATTATGTGAAATGTACAATGTATATTTATGTACATAGTGTATTTGCGCAGGCACTAAAGATCACATGGATTTTTCGATCCGGTGATGGCGATGAGGATGGAAATGAAAGGGCTGTGGCATGACCGGAAATGAAAGGGGTCGATATTGCGCGGGGCGCTGCGTGGTTCGTGTTTAGCTTAAATTACAGCTCATGGCCTCGACCGGGGGGTCGAGCCGGAAACTTTGCCTTACGAATTGCACACCGTTATAATCAAACTATAATGATAATCTTTGTCGATGTGTTTTACCATCTTCGTGTAATCCATTCACTTCTACATACATATTTTATTCTATTTTGTTGTCATTATTGTTGTTATTCTTCAAAGTTGCAAACACTCAAGGCTAGAATTTATATAACTTTTTTATTTCATTCAGGCTCATAAATATCAATCACTTTTTTGCTGAGTTCACAGCAAATCGATCTGTGGATTACTGGGTCAAATTAAATAAAAATTTTTTTGCTATTTCCAATTTAATTTTTTTACATATAGAAGGACAAATTTAATTTTAATTTAGTTTTGTGTGAAAGTTTAATGACAAATTTGATTAATTTATCGTAAGGATAAGAATTGTTTTTTTTTTTTTTTTTTTTCTGTGCGAAAATTTAGACACTCTTGATGCAAGTTGGCATTAAGAATATAAATATACATTGTTTGTAGTCAATGTACATACCAGATAATATAATGTGTAATGTATAATGTATAATATATATTTTAGTGTTATTTTGTTTTCTGAAACAAAAGGGAAAACGGTGTTGAGAGAAAGGATGAGAGGACAATGGGTACTCAAGGACATCAGTACAAACTACAAACGCAATATGGCAACAACTATTTTTACAGACACTTATTTCTCTCCCTTTTCATTTTCATTTTTATTTTTATTACTCACTTATTCCTTTTTGTTATTTAAACTTAAACTTATTTTACCTCTAGAGAGTA